CCCAAGCGAGGGCGGGGCTTTTCACTCCGACGTTTTTTGAAGCAAATTATGTCGCGTCGGATGCAGCAAATATTCGGTACGCCGCCTCTTTGCGGGCCTTCCATAGACAGGTGGCGAATTATCCCAACGTCATCGAGCGCCTACGAGCCATTGTCGCAAGGGGCCAGCTGTAACCTGGAGTTTGTCCTGCGACGACACCCAATACCGCACGTGGGACGTGTCAGAATATTATGCTCTAGCCTGCAGTGGGGTACTCTATAGCGAGTACAACCCAATTAGGGTTTCCTATATGTATGCCAACTGCTGCTAGTGCAAATCCTCCTTTCTTCATTCTTACTTTCTACAGCTAGTTCTGACATGCTATCAGAGCAGGTCGACCCTCCTGGGTCGATCCTGTGGGTGGGCCCACCACCTAAGCCTTCCGCTGCTACTGCTACTGCTACTGCTACTCTGTGTGTCGCACGCCTCGTGGCGTGCGACGGATTTTTCATCCCGCCGTGCGCCCCGAGGTGTGCGGCGGTTTTCAGCCCGCCGTGCGCCCCGAGGCGCGCGGCGGTTTTCTCCCCCCGTCGCCCGCCGAAGCGCCCCCGGGGACCCGCGCGTCGCCCCCGTCGCCCGTGCGCGGCCCGTACTGCACGAGCGCGGCCCGTACAGGCTGCGCCAGGCCCGCGCGCGGCCTGTCCTGCACGCGCGCGGCCCGTACGGCCTGCGCCAGGCCCGCGCGCGGCCCGTACGGGCTGCGCCTGGCCCGCGCGCGCCTCGGGCCGCCTGCGCGCGGTTCGTACGGGCTGCGCCTGGCCCGCGGGCGCCCGGTCTCCTCTCCCACTGAGCTGCACGCCGTCCCTCGCGCTTCTGACGGCGCCCCACCCCTGCTGCTGCCCGTACTCCTGAATTAGGGTTTGGGGGTGGAGCGTATGGGGGTGCCGTCTCTGTCAGCCGTCCCCTGCTCCTCCTCCTCCTCCGTCTCCCACTGCTGCAGCTGCTGCTCAGGGGGGTGGGTGTGTGGGAGCCGAGGGTTTAGGGTTTAAGGGGGGTGCCATGGGAGTGGAGCTAGGGTTTCAGCAGGGGGTGTGTGTTGGGGGGTGTGGGACAGTTGGAGGAGGTTGGGTGGAGGCAGCCGTCGTGTCGTCTGCAGCGCCTGTATTCCGGGGTTCTGATAGCCACCGGTAGCTCAGAGAGCCGGTTGCACCTGTCGCCCGTGGGTCCGTTGCTCCTGTCGCTGCTGATCAGACGCAGAGCCTGTTACTCCTGTATTCCGGGGCCCTTGCTCCCGGTAGCCACTAGAGTTGCTCCCGGTAGCCACTAGCCGTCTGTTGCCCGTGTGTCTGCAGCTTCAGTCGTCGCCTCCACTCTTCTCTCCTCTCGCCAGCCCTCCTCCTCCTCACTTGCCCTCTGTAACTGCCTCTAGCTTTGCTCATAATTGTGCACTTTAAACTATTGCTTCTTAAACTTGTGCTCAGAATGTGTGGTGACATTGTGATCCACCCTGAGCTTGTACTGCTTTGCTTTCTCTGCTGATTACACCCCACTTTGGCTATGGGGGTGTGTCAGAATATTATGCTCTAGCCTGCAGTGGGGTACTCTATAGCGAGTACAACCCAATTAGGGTTTCCTATATGTATGCCAACTGCTGCTATTGCAAATCCTCCTTTCTTCATTCTTACTTTCTACAGCTAGTTCTGACAGGACGTGTGGTGAGAAGGGCTATAGGTGCCCGTCGAGCCGAGTGCGGCTTCAATCTTAGCACGCCAGAGGCTGCACAGTTGGCGGCAACTTGGGTCGGTTCAAGACTACACCAACAAATTTCTTATGCTATGTGAACAAGTCGGCTACATGTACGAAATGGAGTGGGTGGATCACTACGTCGATGGTCTGAAGTTGGAAATTTCGTAGGAAATCCTTCTACACGACATTTTGAACTTCAACGAGATCCTAGCGCTCGCCGAGAAAAGGGGACGTTTTGACGACCGAAGCCGGGGTCCTACCACTACGGACAACATACTTGGGGAACGACCGAGCACGCAACGATTTATACTGTTGCAATGAACACAGCTTGCGTGCCATTTAAGGGGCGCTGCTTCGCGTGCAACAGGCCAGGCCATCACAAGAATGAATGCATAAGGGAGTAAAAGCGCTGAAGAGCTGAGCAGGGGGGGGAATCTGGAGGGCAGGGAAATGCCAACAGTCAATAAAGTACGAGCCCACTACATACAAGACTCACTGCTCGCCCGAATGCACTGAACCCCACCGAGTGACCGATTTACGCAATTAATTGAGCTCGGCCAAACAAGGAGGGTACAACGACAGATTGTCCAGTATTGGTTCACGGGAAGACACTGGGGACAGCAATGAAAGCTTTTGTTGACGGGGGAACTAGTCTAATACGACAACAAAAAGAAAGTTGCAACTACCACTAAGTCCATGTTTAGCAGAGATAAACATGCGCTTAGTTGACGGCACGCCACTCGAAAGGCGGGAAAAAGTGGATATTGAAAATATTCCGGGGGAACTTCGGGTTTACATAAGGGATGCTTGCAACTGTGAGAGTACGACGTTCATTTTTACCCGTTTTACTTAATCCTATTATCGTTTTTGTATTTTCTGCTTATTTACTAGTTCGTTGCTTTTCCTCTAGTTGTTATCGTTATAGCACCGTCTAGGATTGCATGCACCAAATTACTATAGTTTCTGGAGTGACATTTTTTGCACGTGATTATCACCAAATTCTATTACCAAATTCGGTCACTTCTTCATGCTAATAAGACCCAGGTTATTAAACTTGTGTCAAGCACACACACACACACACACACACACACGCACACACACACACGCACACACACACGCACACACACACACACACGCGCGCGCGCGCGCGCACGTACACACGTATTGTACAACGTTGCACCCAAGGGGTAAAAATTTACTGATAAGGTGGAGACTAGATCTTCGCAACGTCAGCATTGATTGGGACTCCTTTGGCGGTGACAACATTTCAGACGGTGGGGTCGTGGAGTCTGAACCACTGGGCCGTAACATCAGCGAGGCAAGCAAGGAAGCCCTCAGAGCACCGTGGTCAGAAGAGGTGGAGCGGACGGCGGTGCGCGAACTGGCCTCAGGGATATCACCGGGGCAGGATGGCCTGCCTAAGGAGCTGTTCGAACACAACTGGGACCTGCTGGGCCCGGTCTTGATGTAGTTCGCTGTCGATTTCACCCGAACTCTAAAACTTCCCAGCAGCGTCTCAACTGCAGTCATGATCCTGCTGCACAAAAAGGGGAGCAAGGAGGACTTGGGGAATTACAGGCCAATAACACTGCTCAGCACAGTCTACAAAATCTTAGCGAAGGTTCTTGCGACGAGGCTAAAGAAAGTGTTACACGAAGTAATTTCGGAGGACCAGGTCGGTTTCTTACCGGGGCGGAAGCTGGCAGATGCAGTCACGGTTGTAGCAGATGCCATTGAAGCAGGTGCTGTCAGAATATTATGCTCTAGCCTGCAGTGGGGTGCTCTATAGCGAGTACAACCCTTCTAGGGTTAGCTATTTGTACCACCATTGTTGTTAGTGCAACCCCTCCTTTGCTTCATTCTCTCTTGCCTAGCTAGGTCAACCCTAGCTATGGCTCCTAAGCATACATATTATCTTGACATGGTATCAGAGCAGGACGATCCTGTTGGGTCGATCCTGTGGGTGGGCCCCACCACCTTAGTCTTCCGCTGCTCCTACTACTCTGTGTGTCGCACGCCCCGTGGCGTGCGACGGATTTTTCATCCCGCCGCGCGCTCGGGGCGTGCGGCGGTTTTCTCCCCGCCGTGCGCCCCGAGGCGCGCGGCGGTTTCCTACCGTGGGGGACCCCGCGCGCCCCCGCCCTTTCCCGTCGCGCCGCCCTGGAGAGCCGCGCTCGGCCTCCCGCTGCCCCGATTCGCCATCGCGCCGCCCTGGGGAGCCGCGCGCGACCCCCCGCTGCCCCGTCGACGGCCGCGACGCCCTGGGGAGCCGCGCGCGGCCCCCGATTTCCCGTCGCGCCGTCCCCCTCGCCGTCCCCCGCGCTCCTTCCCCCGTTCCGCCCGTTTTAGGGTTTGGGGGTGAGGAGTGTGGGGGTGGCGACTATGGGGGTGTCGGTTGTGAGTTCCTCCCCCTGCTCCTCCTCCTCCCTAGTCTCCCTCTGCTACAGCTGCCGCTGAGGGGGGTGGTGTGTGGGAGCCTAGGGTTTGGGGTTTAAGGGGGGTACCGTGGGAGTGGAGCTAGCTAGGGTTTGAAGCAGAGGGTGTGTGTCGAGGGGTGTGGGACTGTTGGGGGAGGTTGAGCGGAGGTTGCCGTCGTGTCGTACGCAGCGCCTGTACTCCGGGGCACTCATTCCCGGTAGCTCAGAGAGCCGGTTGCGCCGTCGCCTGTGGGTCCGTTGCTCCTGCCGCGCATATTAGCCGCGGAGCCTGTTACTCCTGTACTCCGGGGCACTCATTCCCGGTAGCCACGTTGTCGCACCAGAGCCGTCTGTTGCCCGTGTGTCTGCAGCTTCAGTCGTCGCCTCCTATCTACTCTCCTCTCGCCAGCCCTCCTCCTCCTCACTTGCCCCCTGTGACTGCCTCTAGCTTTGCTCATAATTGTGAACCTTAAACTATTGCTTCTTGCTTGTGCTCAGAATGTGTGGTGACATCGTGATCCACCCTGAGCTTGTACTGCTTTGCTTGCTCTGCTGATTACACCCCACTTTGACTATGGGGGTGTGTCAGAATATTATGCTCTAGCCTGCAGTGGGGTGCTCTATAGCGAGTACAACCCTTCTAGGGTTAGCTATTTGTACCACCATTGTTGTTAGTGCAACCCCTCCTTTGCTTCATTCTCTCTTGCCTAGCTAGGTCAACCCTAGCTATGGCTCCTAAGCATACCTATTATCTTGACAGGTGCCAGCGGCAGGGAGGACTGGTGTTTACTAATGATTGACTTCCATAAGGCCTTTGACTCCATATCGCGGCCTTTCCTTTTCCGCACGCTGAGAAGAATGGGTATCCCGGAGGAATTTGTCTCCTGGACGGAGGGACTGCACAGGGAGACAGGCACACGGGTTCATGTGAATGGCTGGACTGGTGGTACGGTTGCGGTTAAAAAAGGGGTGCGGCAAGGGTGTCCTTTGGCCCCATACCTCTTTCTCTGCGCGGTGGAGCCGCTGTGTCAGGAGCTGACGAAGTGCAAGTTGGGAATCGGCCGGAGAGACGTCGGCAAACTGGCTTACCTGGGGTATGCAGACGACACGTCGCTGCTTCTGCGGGGTGCGGAGCAGGTGTCGGTAGCGGCAGGATTCCTGGACGAGTTCGGCGAGAAATCGGGCTTACAAGTAAACCGAGACAAGACGGTGCTGTTTCCCTTGGGGAAGAACAGAGGAAAGCCGCCGCCGCCGGACCTGCAATATAAGTGGGCTGATAAAGGGGAGCCGGAGCGTCTCTTAGGCATATGGATAACACCGAACGGAGACCCGCTGCCGTCCTGGGAGAAAGCATTGGACAGGGCAAAGAAGGAGTTAGCAAAATGGGAAGTGCAGCATTTGACAACATCCGCGAGGGTCACGATTGTGAATGGTTACATCACACCGATTTTCTTGTTCCAGGCGTATATCTACCCGCCTCCGGAGGAGATTTGGACAAAAATCCAGAGGATCTGCCACAGATTTGTGTCAGGGGGGCAAGCAACGGACGAGAAAGTCTTCATACTTTGGAATTACGAGCTGATGTGCACACCCAGGGAAGAGGGGGGACTGGGACTGATTTGCCCCAAAAAGAGGTTCGACAGCGTGGCGATCCAGAACATCGGGCGGATGATGCTGCAGGACAACCCGGTCAAGAAGTGGTTGACCGAATGCGCAGCCGCGATGCCTCAAGGCGAGGACACGATTTTCGCACACAAGTCCCTGATCAAGCACTGGAAGGATGGGAGCAGACTGTGGAAGGAAATGCTGCAGGTTTTCTGGGACTCACCTTTCTGCGTCTCCCCTGAGCCGACAAACCGTTGGGAAGCGGAACGGGAGCGCCTTGCGTTCAATCGGCGAATACCTTTCCGAGGAGCAAGCCCTTTCGGGAATCAGAAGGGCTCAGCCTGCCTCCTTGGGCTAACGATGGGAGACCTGGTGCAGCGGCTGGGGAGCGGCGAGCGGATCCTTAAGACTGAGGAGGCACTGATGAGGGAGCTTGGCAATAAAGACGCGGCGAAGCTGGCGTTGAAGGCCTTCGCAGCAGCGCCGGCTGAGTGGAGGAATCTAATTCTGGAAAAGCTGACGAGTGAGGAGGTGGTCGAGAAGGTCTCGCTGTTGCGCTCCCAAGGCAGGGCACCTGCAAAGCACACGATGTGGAAGGTCAGCGGCAGGGACGGAGACAAGGTGGTCGGAAAGCTATGCGTGGATAACGGTGATGGTACGGTCACGGCATGCGAAGGGGACAATCTGTCGCTCAGTTTCGGACTGCAGCGCAGGGAGCCGCTGGCGGTCCAGGGCTCCAGGGTGCTGGGGCCGATGGGCGAGGCGAGGACGCGGCTACTTCAGTCAAAGCTCTGTGTGGAAGGGGAGCTGCTGCCACTGAAAGGAATCAAGAGAACCCTGACTAGCTCGGCTGGCACTGTGAGTGAGTTGGTGACGGGAGAATCATCGATTGGAAGAGGGTCATCATGGAGAGAGATTCCCTCGCCACACCCGCCGGGGCAAGAGAAATCCTGGTACGACTTCACTGTAGAAATTTACAGGTTGGGGAGCGGCTCTTTTTCATGAGGAACAAGGTGGTTTGTCCACACTGTAAAGGGGAGGAGACACCGGAGCACTGCCTGATTGGCTGCCCGGCAATTCAGAAGGTAGTGAAGTTCTTGCGGGAGGGACTGGCTGCTATGAACCCGCAGCACGGTTGGCAAGAGCTCGAGGATATGCTTTTCATGCAGAGGAGCACGCAGTCAGGTTTTCCGGAGAGTTTCTTTCATCGCCACCACTCTTCACCAAGTGTGGCTGGCAAGATGTGACGCGATCAACCGGGATATCAGGTTCCAGCCGAAGAAAGTGATGCGCCTGGCGGTGGTCAAATTTGTCGCGCATGCAAGGGTTTACTGCCTGGCCAAACAGGTGGCTGCAAGCAAGCGGGGCACAGTAGAGAGCAGCAGCGAGTGGGCATTTTTAGACGCTGACGAGGCGGTGGTGATGAAGTGGATTTGCAGCAAAGTGACGCCGCTGACATGGAAGGGCAGCTTCAGCGCTGTCTGGGACAATCTGAAGCTGACTCACCAGCCACCGTAGATGTATCACAGGGAATCCGCGTTACCCGGTACCGTGGCACTTCCCTAAGAATACAGTTACGAATGCCAATGCGTTGTACATTTTTCATAGTGTAACATCGCATAAAAAAAAAAAAAAATTTGATTGGGACTGGTATTTTAGTGGGACGCGATTGGCTACGACGATACAACTTGCGAGGCGACTTGACGACAGGCAAATGCACTGTGCAAGCGGCGGTAATTGGGTCGCACTACGCTGGCAGTCGCCTGAGTCTTCAACGGTCCACGTCAATGCCATTACAATGAAACGGGTTATCGCTTCAGAAGCTGACGTGCATGCAGTGGATGTTACGGAAGTGGGAGAAGCCGAGAAGTCGGGCGATTATCAGATCGATAGCAGCTGTGCTGCCCGAACTACATGTGCTACTGAAACTGTACCCCGTGATTTTTTTTTTTATGACTTACCAAAATAATTGCCACCTCAACAATCACATGATCACAGCATAGACCAAGAACCGGGGGCACTGCCGTCTGTACAGCGACAGTTTCGACTCGCACACCCTGAGTCGTACAAACTGAGGAAACAACCCGGCTACTTTGTTGGCGGTTAGCCGATGAGTCATAGGGCGCTGAAGTGAAGTCCACGGACAGCATTGACTTAGAGGAACAAGTTGACAAGCTTGGTTGGGCAACTTAAGTGAGGCATAGCGAAGCCGGCCACGAAGACACTGACCACGGTGATGATAAGGAAGTCGGTGATGGTGGACGGAAGTTGACGCTGACTTGGCCCTCTTTAGGGCATGCGAACATCGCCCCATGTGGTTTTGGTGAAGCCGACCTCCGGGTCAGGCATCACGTGCATGTCGATCTGGCACCTATGCAATATGCGTGATGGTACACGTCGTGCTTAACCGTCTGCGCTAGACAACGGGAGTAGACTACGGAGGAAGGCACGGGGTTGTGCGGGTGATCGTAGCGTTGCGCTAGGCGTTCTCACTACTTGTTGTCTTCACAAAGAGATATGGCAAGAGTTTCACTAAGAAATTGAGATAACATTGGATTACAATGAGGCATGCAAGTCGATATAGCTAGAATGGCATTGCAACACCTAGCAAGCCCTCTTCGGGGCGAACTATGCCAGCGCAGTAAAAGAGCGGCTTGCCAACGCTGCAGCAGAGTAGTCTACCAGCGCGGTATAGCAGTGATCTATCTGCCAGCGCCGCAGAGGCAGGTGAACTTCTGCGCAAGTGCGCACCTACCAAGTAAGTGCAGGTAGATGGATGCGCCGCCAGGCACATTGCCTAGGTGCCAGATGGAACACGTGTCGACGGTTTCGCCAGCAGTGCACCATCGAACACGTGAAGCCATTCCGCATGTTGACTTCGCAAAAACTTCCTGGACGACATTCGCGCACATGACGAATTTCGCAGTCGCGCGACTTTCATAAAGTAGCTCGACAAATGCTTCGTCGAGCAGCTTTCGCCTAGACGAGCCCTCTGCCAGCCTCGTCGAGGAGCTCCTATACCGGCCTTGTAGAGGAGCTCCTATACCGACTTTGTCGAGGAGCTCCTTTACTGACCAGGTCCCGTCGAACCGAACTCCTCGACGGACTCGCCTTCTGCGAGCTCGTTGACCGCGTCCTCTGCGAGCCCGCCGACCAGCATCCTATATGAGCACGTCGACCGGCGTCCTATATGAGCCCGTCCTCTGCCGATGATTTCTGCGGACTGGTCGAGGACGAACTCTGTGGACAGGTCGAGGCCGCCTTTTCCGCGCCCCCGACTGCGAAGTCTGCTTCGCCCAAGCGAGGGCGGGTCCTTTCGCGTCAACACCATCTACCTACACGTACTTGGTACGTGACACGCATGTGCGCACATGGCCACCTGCGATTGCAATGCTGGCAAGCCACCTTGCTGCAGCGCTGGCAAGCTGCGCTGATGGACCGCTAGCAAGTCGCCAACTTGCAGTGTTTCCAAGCCGCTAAGCAACTGCGTTGGCACACTGCCGACTCGTGGTGTTAGCAAGCCGCCCTTGTGCTACGGTGGAGATCAGCTTGCTAGGGTGCAGGATAGCAATGCATTCTGATATATTCACTTTGCCATCGCCATTGTTTATCATTGTGCTCAAATTTTCTTAGCGAAACCCTTGTCAAATTTCCTCGGGATTAGGCAAGTAGAGAGAACACATGTACAACACTATAGCCTCCCATGTAGTCCAGCCACCACTGTTGTAGTCCGCATGGTGTGGTGAGCGTAGATGACCCCGCGTTATACCTTCAGATAGTATCCGACTTCATGCCTTACCTAAGTCCTTGTTAGGCCAGTAGCAAATTTAGTCTTCATGGTCGATCACCCGGTAGTCGAAGCAGGCGTAGAAGATATCATGGAGAAGAGAGAGCTTGATGATCGGGTATGCCACCAGGTTGACGAGTACGGCTGAGCGTCGCTGGAATTGATGCTCCTAGGGACTCGCGCGTAGTGGTTTCGCGAACGTCCCCCTTCATGTACTAAAGCGGACGATGTGCCCGCCTCACCCGGCCTGTGCACAACGAAGTCAGCGTCTGCTAAGTCGGCGGCAGATGCATGTGGGTGACCCGGGGTGATTTTGACCGCCGACGTCGATGTTGGCGACTGCGATTGGCGGCGGCTGCAGCCAGCGCGCATGGCGATGTCCGCGGTCGACGTCGCCCCTCCAGCGCAGTGAAGTCGGGCCGGCTTCGGCGGCTCACTTGTCGACTGGCCGGGACAGAGGGATCGCGCCGGCGTACGGCTACTTTAAAGTTCTCGTCGAACGAGATCGTGTACCCAAGCTGCTGGAAGGTCGACACGATCTCACCACATGGATAGAGTCGATTGAGCCGCGTGTGAAGATTGCTGGCTTGAAGAAGTTCACCAATGGCGACGTGGAGACGGACGAGGACGACGCCGAGCTCTAGTTGAAATTTCTCGCCGCCGCCCACCTGCTGACCTTCGTGGTCACCTTGCGTTGATGCTCGCCAATAGTGCAAGTCGCCTTGAAGCCGTGCCAACTTCAGAAACACCGGCTACCAGACCCCAACCTTATCCTGAAATCAGCCAAGTCAGCAGAAAGTAGCCTGATAAAGTAGGGCTTGATACATACACGTCCTCCTTTTCCTGAGAGTGCGTCATGGCATATATTTCGTCAATATGTAGGCTAAAGCCTTCGGAGCAGTGTTTCACAGTTATTTCCGTTCTCGACTCTTATTATATAGCGAAACATTTGCATTTTCGCGCCGCTGATGCTAGTACTCGTCATTGGCTCCAGGTTTGCAGGAGCCGTATAGGCACACACACCTGCTTTCCACTGACAGTATGTAAGATCCAGCCAATGAGATGACTGGAAATCGATTTCGCGGGAAAACGTCGCATTTGAATCTTTGTGATGGAAGATGATGCGACTTGGAAAGGGGTTCTAGCAAACAGTTGACTTCGGTGCGAGGGAGATCCAGGCGGAGGCTGACGCATCCCAGGTTATCAGCACGATTTACTGGGATGCTGGGCAGATGCCCCGAAAACTCTTTCATTGCCTACCCAGAAAGCTTCCTGTCGCTGCTGATGCAGGGACTGACGGGCAGGAGAAGACATCTGGGTGCGCGGGTTGTGCGGTCGCACCGCATGGCTGCCCGGGGCGACGCGTGATCCCCATTGAGGTTTTATCGAACCGCGCCGTCACCCCCACTCCACCCCATCCCACCCATCCCATCCCACTGAGGTGCGAGGAAGGTGTGTTTCGTGTTTGCGTAAAGCCCAGGCTTCCAACTTCGGCAGATAGTAGGAACGTCTCATTTCATTTTGCTCACCATAGCACCCAAACCCTGCCCTTGTTAGTGCACTTCTATAAGCAGCACCATGGCTTTTCAAAGAAATAGCACATCGTCAGCAAATAGCTTTTCCTCCCAGCCCTTTTCAACTGCACGAAAAAGAAAGCTTGTTTTCTCCGAGTCAATCCCAGAGCGGTCTAAGCGCATTCGTCCCAGCCTGGACGCCAGCCATACCAGTCCGATTTTTGGCACCGCAACAGGCCGTTTCGACGACTACTTCGCTCTATGCTCCACCACTCCCCTTGGGTCCGGCAGATTCGGCGCCGTGCGTAAATGCATTTGCAAGGCGACAGGCGAGGCATTCGCATGCAAAACGCTTCAGAAGAGAGAGCTGATCGGCGAGGCGGGGCGGGATGACGTGCGTCGCGAGGTTCGCATGTTACAGCAGGTGGCGGGCCACCCCGGGATAGTTCAGCTGCACGCGGTGTTTGAGGACGAAAACGAGGTCCATCTGGTTACCGAACTTTGCGAAGGTGGCGAGCTCTTCGACGACGTCGTGCGACGCGGG